AGACTTCAGAAAAACCTGGAAAGACTTATATGAACTGATGCTGAGTGAAGTGAGCAGAACTAGAAGAACATTGTACACAGTAACAGCCACATTGTGTAATAACTAACTCTGATAGACTTAGCTTTTCTCAGCAATGCAAGGATCTAAGACATTTCCAAAAGACACAGGATGAAAAATGCTGTCTGCATCCAGAAAAAGAATTGTGGAGTCTGAATGCAGCTTGAAGAACATTATTTGCTTTCTCTCTCTCTCTCTCTCTCTCTGGTTTTGTTTTGTTTCTTCTTTCTTGTGGTACCTCCCATTGGTTCTAATTTTTCTTTACAACATGACTCGTGTGAAAATATGTTTAATAGGAATGTATAGGTAGGGTCTATATCAGATTGCATGCCAACTTTGGGAAGGGTGGAGGAAGTGATGGGGGAGAAAATTTAGAACTCAAAATCTTATGGAAGTGAATGTTGAAAACTAAAAATAAATAAATTAATTAAAAAAAATCAAACTAGATAGAACTTGTAAAGTGCTTAGCACAGTGCCTGGCATACAGTGGGTGCCATATAAATGCTTCTTCTTTTCCCTTTTCCCCAACTTTGATACAGTGGAAGGAGTACCAGATTTGTAATCGAAGCAACAAGATTTGAATCCTGATTCTTTTATTTGCTACCTGTGCATCTTTGGGCAAATCTCTTGACCTCTCTGGGCCTCAGTTTCCTTGTTTGTAAAAATAAGAGTTTTGGACTAGATGACCTTTAAGGTTCCTTTTAGCTCTACATCTTTGACACTATGATAGAAGTCATATTTATCTTTATAGGCCTCAGTTTCCTCTTCTGTAAAATGAGGGTCATGACTTCTAAAGTCCTTTCTGGTGCCAACTCAATCCTTAGAGGGCTTCCTGAGGGCTCCCTTCTGGTTTGGATCACTCCAATAGCCTGCCCGATGAGTTTCTGGGCTAAATCAGAGGTGGCCAGTGCATTATCTCAATAACTGGATGAAATAATTTTTAGGGCCACAAATTCTCCACTTCACTTTTACAACCAGTTTAGTACTTTCAGTTATATTCCCAAACACAGAGTTTAGGCCAACTTTGATCCTGGGTTCAAGTTTTGATATATGGCCCTACATAAAGTCATTCAATCTCTCAGTGTCTGAAGAAATTCTCTAAGAATGTAAGTTACAGATCAGTTGGTGGTCACCAATAGGCTACAGGCTTCTTGAGGGTACGGGCAAACTTTTTCTTTGTCTTTGAATCCCCATTATCTAGCACAGTACCTGGCAAACAGCAAAACCTTAATAAATGCTGGATGAATGGTGAATGGACGAAGCTGCCTCCATGGAAGGAATTTCCACATTGATGAAAGCACAGGTCCAGATTGAAAAAAAAATGGCCACGAGGAGACATGTTCTTTAAGAAAGTTTCAATCAAGAGTATAAGTAGGGCAGGGTGAGTAGGTATAGCAGCTGCTTTGTAGTTCACCCTAGAAATGGCTGCATGGAAGAAACAGGACAGAGGTCAGGGTAGTAGAGCAGGCATTCGTGACCACACCCTCTACTGTTATATGGGACTGTCCACTTGTCCTGTAGTATACCAATCAGTTCTTGCTGATCTTTTTGAAAGAATGAATGAACGAATGAATATGAATGAAGTTATAGCTTAAATAACACAATGTGCACTCTTTTATGTGCTGAAAGACAACACTTGCATGTTGGCCAGAATGTTAAATAAGAGGCAGCATTTTATTGGTGGCATTTATGAATAATAAAGACAGGCATGTGGGATGGGAGTGAAGTCTGATGTATACAAGGCACTGAGTCTGAGATCAGGAAATCTAAAGAACACTTCATTGGAAAGATGCACATTTCACTTTATGTGTCTTTTATTTATTAGTTCTTTTGTTCCCATTTGAAACAGCTGAGGGTATTGGACTTATTAAAAATTCTCATTAGCCAGACAGAATAGCTTTAGTTCATCCCTTCAATGAATTCCTATGGCGGGCTCAAAGCCAACTTGGTACAGGTAGAATTCTTCAATAATAAATTGAAAAAGGTGGCCTTGAATTTGTAGTAATCATAGAATTTCTATGTAAAACAGCCAACTCTGGAGCCTGCCAATAGCCAGTTTCTCCAAATTGTTTTCTTTTTATAGGAAATTGTGTAAAGAATTGTGTAACTCTGGAATTTTGTTTGAGTGTCCTGTCATGTACAGAACTTTGGCAATTCAGAGGTAAGGTGAAAGCTTATTGACTAATAGCCTTTTGGGGGGAATCTAGATGACTTGGTGCAGGATTGACAGGACTACTTTTCCTCCTTTTTTCTTGGTTCTATTCAAGTCAGTTCTTGATTATTCAATGATTGGTGGTGACCTAGTTTGTGAATTAAATTGTTCCTGTGTTTTTCCTCTCTGTGACTACTTACTACCTGTGTGACCCTGGGTAAGCCATTGCACTTCTTTGTATCTAAATTGCCTCATTTATGAAGAGTGAGAAGATTAGCCTCAGGTCTCTTGAAGATCTAAATTAGTTATTTTTTTTATGCGTCCCTCCAGCATTCCACTGAATTTTTATCCCCTGGAATGTAACAATTCCACAGGCAAGCAAGGAGAGATCAAAAGCAATTTAGCCCATTTCACTACTCATTTGTAAAGGATTTGATGTGGTGGAAGATTGAACCTACTGGCTAAAATGACTTCTTTAAAATTATGTGAAGATTGCAATTATTCATGCCATTTTTTCATTCATTCAACAAATATTCATTATGTATCCATTACATGCTTGCACTGTGAAAAAAATAAAACAGTTCCTGCCTTCAAGAAGCTTATATTCTATTTGATAGCAATAACATTTACCTGGAGAAGTAAGTACAAATTATACATGATTTTTTTTTTGGGGGGTGGGGAGGAAGGACTAACAATTGGAAGATCAGAAAGGACCTTTTATAGAAAGAGGCACACCCTTAAAATGAGTTTTGAAGGAGGCTGGGGATTCCAACAGGTGAAAGTGAGAAAAGAAAATTTTCCAGGCATGGGAGAGGGTTTGTGCAAAGGCACAGGAGTGGAACATAAAATATTGTAAGTGGAATCTTTTTGCTGAAATGTAGAACACATGAAGAGGGCTAATAGGGCAGGAGTCCAGAAAAGATAGGTTGAAGCCAGATTATAAAAGATTTTAAGTGACAGAGAGAAAAATTTGTATTTTATACAAGTCTTTAGAAACTTATATATGTATTTATATACTTTAGAAGTGTTTACATATTTCTCTATGCTATAGAAGAATTTATATACTGTAGAAATTTTTTTCAGCAAGGGAGTGAAATGGTCAGATTTGAGGTTTAGGAATATCATTTTGGCAGCTGCATGAAAGATATATATATATATATATATATATATATACATTTGTGTATATCTATAAATACATGCATATCTATCTATCTATCTCTCTATCTATCTATCTACCTATGCCATAATCACATTGTAGTAGTTCAAAATGTGTCTCTTTCTAATTCTGAAATAGCCTCTAGATTCAATCCTCCCCTTTCTGGGGGAAGAGGTCCCTATGTCTCTGGAGAAGTGTCTCATCTGGCCTCCCTGACCTCCCTGACCCTCCAGAGGGTGTTAATATGAAATTTCTTCTTTATTTGAATCCTTCTCTGGATCCTCTCTATTTAGGCATCTAACTCTAACAGGCCACCTGCAGATGGTGGATGGGCTCCTCTTGGAACCCACTTGGTCCTCTCTTCATTACTCTTTTCGTCTTGGCCTTTATGGAATCCAACCAACTTCCTAGTGGGCTAGGAGCAGATGCATGTGATGTATTGTCTTTGTAGGACCCTGACTGTCCTCTGGGATTTGTCTTTGTGGGTGTTGTTTTGTATTATGTTTCAGGTATCCTTATAAGATTATAAGCTTCATGTGGGTAGGCACCACTAGACCAGAGATCTAGAGTAAGAAGGGACTTTTGAGGCCCTGTACTCTAATCGCAACATTTTGTAGACCAGAACATTGATAACTACTTACACAAGGTCCCAACATTAGTGAGGGTCAGAAGTAGGATACAAACCCAAGATCCCTGACAGTAGAGTTCATGTTCTTTCCCTATATTGCCCCTTTTACCCAATGGATCTTGTCCCATCTTTGGGTGCTCTCCTGGTACTCAGAGAATGTTAAAGTAAAAACTCAGGAAAAGGGCTGGAGTGAGACTGGCCAGACCTCTACGGAATATTCAATGGAAGCCTTTGACAAGACAGAGAGGACAAAAAGGCTTGGATGAGTTGGGAGTGCTACCACTGCAGGGAGTATCCTGATAGATGGGGTTCTAAATCTATTGAAACATTTCCCCTCCCCAGTGGCCTGGTAGAGTGCTCTGCTTACAATGAAGTGTTTATTAAATGCTGATTGAATGGGAAGTATTCAAATATTTGTGCCCTTCAAAGAGTGTTGGAATGAAATGGACAACTTTAAGAGTATTAGGAAATGAGATGGAGAAAGGGGTCAAGACTCTATCCAATATCATCAAGACTGTTCTGAAGAGATAGATAATATCCATATTTTTTTCTCACTATACTAGAATTTGTATTATCTCCAGATAAGTACGATTGCTGTGATTGCCATCTGTGTAAGTCTTTCCTATCATTGTTGTTATTCACTCTTTTTAATTGCAGGGGTAGCAAAGTGGGACAGTAGATAGACCACAGGGTCTAGAATCAGGAAGACTCAAGTTCAAATGTGGCTGTAGACACATACTAGCTGTATGACCTTGGGCAAGTCATTTAATTCTATTTGCCTGAATTTCCTCATTTTTAAAATGAGCTGGACCACTCTAGTATCTTTGCTAAGAAAACACCAAATGGGGTCACAAAGAGTCAGACATGACTGAAATAAGAACAACAATCACTAATGGTGTCACACTCCCATAATGCAATCCCACTGAAATCTCTAGCAGCTGATATTCAAAGATTAACAAGAATGTTTTAATTTTTTTGTTATTTTTAAAAACATTCCATTACTGATGATTACATTCACAATTTAATTTAACTCCTCCAACATTCCTTTGCAGGCTTGAGTTTTCAGTTTTCTTCTATGCTAGTAACATTGATGTAGGCTCATCAAAATCTCTTCATGAAGTCTTTTGTGCTGTAGGACAGAGAGATTCGAAGAAAAACTCCATATTAAAAAGTACCCAGCAACCTAGTTTACACACTAGAATCTGGAATTATGGAATAGTTGTACGGCATGTCTGACTTCTATGTAATTTCTGCAGCAGTTTTTCTGTTTAAAATGGTACTTTGGGGGCAGCTTGGTGGCACAGTGGATAGGGCACTGGCCCTAAAGTCAGGAGGACCTGAGTTCAAATCTGGCCTCAGATACTTCCTAGTTGTGTGACTTTGGGTAAGTCACTTAACTCTGATTATCTCTCCCCAAAAGTAACAATTAAATCTTGTCCCTTAAACTGATAAATACTTTGGTGTTTGGTAGTAATCAACAGATGATCCACTTCCTCCTATAATGTGGTATCTGGGCATCTATGGACATTCTCTAATGTGCAGGCTGTGTTCTGAAAGTTGTTTGTTTGGAACTGGGAAGAATTTTCTCATGGAAACCTTTTAGGGCAAGCCATATAGGCCTGCTTAACCATAATCTATCATTTAATCCATGACACACATTTTTTATAAGGCTTTACCTTTGATTACAGGATGACAAAATCTGAGAGGTCATCCAGATACAACATCGTAAGGGGTTCCATTAGTACTTATACTATCACTGATATCAAATTTCTAGTGAGACTGTATTTTATTTATATTGTGAGTGAAATTGTCTTCTATGAGAGAATGTTTCTGCCTAAGCAGACAAAAGGGATCTCAGTGACCTAAGAGCAGCTCATCACATTCAGTAAGATATGAGGTCATGGCACCTCAGGAAGAAAGAACAGAAGAAGGTGGGTTCTTTGTTGTTATATGTGCATATGGTGAGGCAATGGGGGTTAAGTGACTTGCTTAGGGTCACACAGCTAGTGAGTATCATGTGTCTGAAGCTGCCACCCCTAACTCTTAATAAAGTATGACTAGATGTGGCCCACATGATTCTAGGTAGAGAATGCTCATAAATAGAGCATTCATAAATTAGGAGAAATATTCATCATTGTTAATCACTTTATCAAGTAGAATTTAAGTTCCTTGATGGTAGGGACTTCTTATTTGACTTTCTATCTGCGGTGACTAGAACAGAACCTGGCAAATGGCAGGCATTTGTTGAATTGAATTGAATTCCATTCTCTAGATCACTGAATATTAGAGTTTAATTTCTTAGCCCAGCTATTGAAGGAAGCTCTTTGTGAGTTGTCAAGGGAGGTTCCTGGTGGATAGTGAAGACCTGGAGTTGAAGCCACTTAAGGAAATGGAGGCCCTGACACATCCTCTCAGGGTCACACAGGAGTCTATGCAACATCCCTGGCCATTCTCCTTTCTCATTCACACAGGGCTTAGGGATACTCAGAAGCTGCTGTCAGGGTGAAAGTCATTTTCCCCCAGGGCTGAAGAGAGACACATTCTAATAACATGAGTATGAGATGGAGCTGTGCTTCCTTCTACTATGAGGTACTACTAGCATTGAGCTGACCAAAGGAAGTACTGAGAGTTTAAATCATTTGCCCCATTGGTTAAATGTCAGAGGTGAGAATTGGGTTTAGGTCTTCCTGACTCCAAGCTTAACCCTTCACATACTGTGGTATTACTCTCTCTACTACTACACCTAAACCCCATAAGAATAATAACTACTGATGATTAAATAATGCTGTGAAGGTCTGCAAAGCACTTTGTAAATGTTAACTAAGAAGAGAGTTCATAAAAGAGGGGAGAGAGATAGTTTTCCATTCTGAATTTCCTTGCAATGTAAATCTCTTTGGATCGTAGACACAGATTTAGAGCTAAAAGAGACCTTACAAGTCACAAAGAGGAAAACTGGTCTCATTGACCTGTAAAAAAGAAGAAATACATCAGAGGCTTTAAAAAAGTCTGTTTTTGAATTCTAGATCAATAAAGGTTTTCTTTGTTCTTGTTTATGTTATCTTTGTGCAATTTTCCAAGTAGATGCTCCTATGGTTAATATGTCCAATCAAAACAAACAAGGCATGCACCATTGAAAGTTTGTTTATGTGAATACCTCTCTGTCACCAGCAAAAGAGGAGGTAAGCACAGCAGGCATATTGGAATGTGTTGTTGTTATTGAAACCTGTGATTTCATCATTTTAGGGGATGTCCAGAGTGGAAAATTCTTTCATCTATGCAAATGAACAAATCCTCCATGATTGGTAGTCAGAGAGTTGTCTGGGCAAGGAGGTTAAGTGATTTGCCAAGGGTCAAATAGCCAGCAAATGTCAAACATAGAATTTGACCCCCGTTTTTACCAATTTTGAAGCAGACCCTTGATCTCTTACACAGTGGCTGACTTTCATGCAGTTCTATATATCTATCTCGGATTATTTTAGGCTGTATACAAAAGATTCTAGATCTATAGTTGGAAGGGACATTGAATCCAACTCTTTCATTTTTACTGATAAGGAAATCGAGGCCCAAGGAATATGGAAGAATATTTGGAAACTTTTTAGTTTCTTCTTTTTGGTTTCTCTAGAATATTAAGAAATAATATTTCTTTGTCCAAAAGATAGGATAAATATGTTTAAAGATAGGATAGGTCAGGAACAAAAAGACCTTTTTATAAAGAAATGGAATAAGGGTAGAAATCAACCTTTTGAAAAAGAATAACTCTGGTCTTGTTAAGAGTATTATCTTCCAAGGGTGGATCCAAGATGGCAGAGAAAGGGCAGGACTTGCCTGAGCTCTTCCAAGTTCCCCTCCAAACAACTTTAAATAATTCCTTAAAAAAAATTCTAGAGGGGAAGAACCCATAAAAGGATGGGGTGAAAAAATTTTCTAGCACACAATAATTTAGAATGTCGGTAGGAAAGGTCTATCACACTGGAGTGATAGTGGAACACAGGCTGCGTCATCTCTGAGTGGGCCCCAGCAAACTAGCAGCAGGCCTTGGGAATAACTGAATCAACAGTGCCAGCACCTACTTTTCAAGCTCTCAGCCCACAGACGGCAAGAGAGTTAGACAACTGATGAGAAGGAGATTACAGGTGTCTCTTTGCTAGCACTGAAGCAGGACTCTGTTGCTTTGCCCATACTCAGATTTGGGTTACAGCTCTGGGTCAAAATCCCTGGGCAAGGAGGAATACTAGCACAACAGAGCTTGTGGTCTTAGAGAAGCAGGGACCCTGGTCACTGTTCCAGGGCAGAAAAGGGTACTTGTGGTCACTCACAGACCAGAGCACATGCCAGGAGAGTAGTAAATACACTTCACCTTAGAGGTGGAAGAATTGAAAGCTTACAGATTCCCAGAACTCGCTTCACAAAAACCCTGAAGTTTGGGACAGTGCCCCAATTCTAGGAGCAGGAGCAGAATCCAAGTTTAATATATAGTTAAAAGTCAAGAAATCAGCTAGAAAAATGAGCAAACAATAACAACAACAAAAGGTAATGACCATAGAAAGTTACTATGGTGACAGGGAAGATCAAAATGCAAACTCAGAGGAAGACAACAAAGTCAAAACTGCTACATTCAAAGCCTCAAAGAAAAATTTGAATTGGTTTCAGGCCCCAAAAGAATTCCTTGAAGGGCTTGAAAGGGATTTTAGAACTCAAATAGAGGTAGAGGAAAAATTGAGAAAAGAAATGACAGTGATGCAAGAAAATCATGAAAAAAAGAGTTGATAGCTTGGTAAAGGAAGCACAAAAAAATACTAAAGAAAATAACACCTTAAAAAATAGAACTGGCCAAATGGTAAAAGAGGCAAAAACAAAACAAAACAAAACAAAACAATGAAGAGAAGAAAGCCTTAAAAAGCAGAACTGGCCACATGGAAAAAGGTGTACAAAAATTCACTGAAGAAAAGAACTCCTTGAAAAGTAGAATTAGACAAATGGAAAAAAAGAGGTACAAAAACTCACTGAAAGAAATAATTCCTTAAAAATTAGAATTGGACAAATGGAATCTAATGATTCCATGAGACATCAAGAAGCAATAATAAATAATCAAAAGAAGAAAAAAATAGAAGAAAACGTGAAATATCTCATTGGAAAAACAACTGGCATGTAAAATAGATCCAGCAGAGATAATTTAAGAATTATTGGACAACCTGAAAGCCATAATCAAAAAGGAAGCCTAGACATCATCTTTCAATAAACTATCAAGGAAAACTATGCTGATATTCTAGAACCGGAGGGTAAAATAGAAATTGAAAGAACCCACTAATCACCTCCTGAAAGAGATACCAAAATGAAAACTCCCAGGAATATTATAGCCAAATTTCAGACCTCTGAGGTGAAGGAGTAAATATTGCAAGCAGCCAGAATGAAACAATTTAAGTAGCGTGGAGCCACAGTCAGGATAACACAAGATTTAACAGTTTCTACATTAAAAGATCAAAGAGCTTGGAGTATGATATTCAGAGGACAAAAAGGCTAGAATCACAGCCAAGAATTACCCACCCAGCAAAACTGAATATAATCCTTCATGTGGAAAAATGGATATTTGCTGAAATAGAGGACTTCTGAGCATTCCTGATGAAAAGACCAGAACTGAATTGAAAAATTGAATTTCAAATACAAGACTCAAAAGAAGCATAAAAAGGTAAACAGAAAAGAGAAATCATGAGAGAAAAGGAGATGTAGAAGGAGGTAAATTATTTCACATAAATGAGGTGCAAGAGCCCTTTTACAATGAAGGAAAAGGTGGAAAAGGGGGGAGCATGTGAATTTTGCTCTCACTGGAATTGGCTCAAAAAGGCAGCGACATAAACATTCAGTTGGGTATAGAAATTTATCTTACCCCACAGAAAAGTAGGAGAGGAAAGGGATAAGAAAAATGGGGAGTGGTGCTGATAGAAGGGAAAGCACATTGGGGGAGGTGATAGTCAAAAACAAAACGCTTTAAAGAATGAATAGGGTGAAAAGAGAGAGAGTAGGATAAATGGAGAAAACAGGATGTAGGGAAAAACAGTTAGTAATCAACTGTGAATAAAATTTTATGACAAGTTTCTTTGATAAAGGCCTCATTTCTCAAATATATAAAAAAACTGCATCAATTTTATAAAAATAAGAGCCATTCCCCAACTGATAAATGGTCAAAGGATATGAACAAGCAGTTTTCAGACAAAGTAATCAAAGGTATTTAGAGTCATATGAAAATGCTCTAAATCACTATTGATTAGAAAAATGCAAATTAAAACAACTCTGAGGTACCACCCCACACCTATCAGATTGGTTAATATGACAGAAAAGTAAAATGACAAATGTTGGAGGGGATGTGGGAAAATTGAGACACAAATGCACTGTTGGTAAAGTTGTATACTGATTCTACCATTCTGGAGAGCAATTTGGAACTATGCCCAAGCAATACCACTGCTAGGTCTGTATCCCAAAAATATTTTTTTAAAAAAGGAAAAGAGCCTATATATACAAAAATGTTTATAGCAACTCTTTTTGTGGTGGCAAAGAATTGAAAATGGAAGGGATGTCCATCAGGAATGGCTCAATAAACTGTGGTATATGATTGTGATGGAATACTATTGTACTGTAAGAAATGATCAGCAAGATGCTCTCAGAAAAACCTGGAAAGACTTACATGAACTGATGCAAAATGAAATGAGCAGAACCAGGAAAACATTGTTCACAGTAACACAATGTTATGAGATTATGAAATGTGAATGACTTAGCTCTTCTCAGCAATACAATGATCCAAGACAACTCTGAAGGACTTATGATGAAAAAAACTATCCATCTCCAGAAAAAGAACTGATGGAGTCTGAATGCAGTTTGAAGCATATTTTAAAACTTTATTTGTCTTGGTTGTTTTCTTTGGTCTGTGTTTTCTTTCATAACATAACTAAGATGGAGATATGTTTTACATGACTACACATGTATAACCTGTATTAAAATGCCTGCCTTTTCAATGAGGGGGGCCAGAAGAGAGAGAGAGAGAATTTGGAACTCAAAAATTTTAAAAATGAATGTTAAAAGTTTCTTTTGTATGTAGTTGGGGGAAAAATAACAATATTAAATAATATAAAAGAGTATTATCTTCCCCAACTCTAGACTGATTAGGTTATTGATCCATGTATTAACAGTGTCCTAGACTTACCCACCTGTCCTTTATTCCATTCAAGGGGAAACACCCTCTTCTATTATTCAGATGTCATCGTATGATACCTATCTTACCTGCCCCCCCTCAAAAAAATTAAAACTAATCTGTTGCCAAGACCTATCAATTTTAGCTTTGCAACATCACTTCTCAACCCCTCTTAATTCTAGTGCCTTGCTTCTATTGATTATTTCCTACTTATCCTGTATATAGTTTGTTTGTACATATTTGTTTACTTGTTTCCCCCAATAGATTGTGAGTTCCTTGAGAGCAGGAACTGTCTTGTATCTCCTTTTACATCCCCAACACCAAACACTGTGCCTGGAACACAGTAAGTGCATAATAAATGTTTATTGACTGACAGAAGAGATTCACCCTCATATTCCATATTTCTCTCTGGGAGGAGTCACATTGATTCCTTGACAAATGGGATGGTGAATGTTACTCAATCATTTTGGAATGTTAACCCCAAACTGTGTGTGTGTGTGTATACACACACACACACACACACACACACACACACACACATATATATATATATACATATTCTTCTTCAAGATTCTTATATTACCATGATTTTCTTGGGCTAGAGAGTCATGTTGGAGTGAATGGAGCAACTATGCTAGTTTGCACATTCTCTCTCTCTCTCTCTCTCTCTCTCTCTCTCTCTCTCTCTCTCTCTCCCTCTCTCCCCCCCTCTCCCCCTCCCACCCTCCCTCTTCCTCCTCTCCTTGAATCTGTCTCTCTGTTTCTCTCTGTCTATCTCTCTGGACTCTGACAGAAATGGCTTGGATACTAGTTTATTGTTAAATTAAATAATTTTTTCCTTAGAAGCTATCCCCAAAATGAAGAGGACATTACTAATAGCTTTTCTTTGACGAGAATTTAAGTGACACCACACGGAGTAAGCATCAAAGGAGTGATTGGAGTCCAGGACCTCTGCATCATTGTTCCTTCCTCTGTTTCCCATTCTCTGTAATGGGCTAGGTGAAGACATTCCACTCCATCTCAATGGTGGCATTGTCCATTGAGGACAGGCAAACTTCCAGTGGATATGAATCCTGGACTTGGAATGTGGAGCCCTGGCATTCCGTCTTAGCTCTGGCATTCACTACTTGTATGACCCCAGGCATTCAATTAAATTCTGTGGACTTCAGTTTCCTCTTCTTCCAAACAGTAATAGAAATACTTGTACTCTACCCACTTTGCAGGCTTGTGAGGAAGCATTTCATAAATCTAAAATGATGGATCCTCCTCCTCCTCATAATGAATATTAATATTATATGGGCTGGGAAATGAAATCTGGGTAGAGTCTTGGCACCATACATAGCTCCTTTCTTTTAGCTATCTTACTCCTATCATCTCTTGAGAAGACCTCCATCATCCATCCCAAAGTGAGTTGCCCACTTCCAGTTCCTGAATTGTCTTCCATCCAGAAAATTACTTTGCAAAGCTGGGTGTTGTGCCAAACCTGATTCCCCATGAATAGGTGATGCATACACAGTTTCCATACTACCTGCCTGACTTCAAATAAGACCAATCTAGAAATAAATATAGTACCCACTTGAACCCTCTTATGTAAACAGGGACTGCAAAAGAAATAGATTTGTTCCAAAAGTCAAAACCATAAATATTAGTCATGGGTTTATGGTTATGGTTTCTTAGTGATGTATTATGCACTTTAAAAAATAACTAGCAGGAGGTAGGTTCAGTTACTAGATTCAGTTAGAACACCTGGGTTCAAATCTGCTTCTGTTTATTTACCTCTGTTACCTTGGGCAATTCACTTACGCTTTTCCACATTTGTAAAATGAGGGTGTTGGACGATGCCCTTTAATATATCTCTTCCAGTTCTGTATCCGTTTGAACAATGGCTAACACTAGAGTTCCTGATGTTAGGTAAAGAAGGACTACTTTAGATTTCATCAAAGAAAAAGAAAGCAGTATCTATCTTTACAAGACAGTCACTTGGGAGGATCTCTCAACAAATGATGCTCCTTCTTACCTTCTATAGATACATTAAGCCGCCGTGGTCACAAGAACATTCATCAAGCCCCTTAATCACCTTTACCTTCTCTCGGTAAAACAGTGTAGGTGCTTTCCATTCCAGCACCAAGGTGTTCACCAAGATGACAGTGGAATAACCAAGTCCCGGCATCTTTTGGATACATTTGAAGAGTTTTGAATGTTCCAGGAACAAGGTCGTAAACATCTGAGCGAAAAAATCCAGCGCCCTGAATGAGAAAGATGAAATAATATCAGTCTATTTACTTGAGGTAATTCAGGTAGTTGCATAATTTATAACCTGCCAACTTGTAATTATCAATCAGAGTCACTCAAATACAGGTTTAATTAAGGTCCGTATGGCCCTGGGTACTTGAATTTTTATAGGCACTTTGGAAGGTACACTTTTAAAAGGGTGTCAGATTTTGAGAGGAAATAAAATCTTGAAAAGTTCATTCCTTTCATTTTATGGGAAAACAAAGGTTGACATTAGCATGACTCTATCTCTTTGGGTATATACTGTGCTTAATTTTCAAGGTCCTGATTAATCTGAACACACCTTGTGACCCCTCCTACTCCTCAACACAAATGCTAATTCCATCAGACCATTCATTTCACCTTCCTTGGAATGTGGCATATCTTCGGGTTCCCTTTTCCATCTCTTTGCTCATTTTCCATTGAATTGGAGTTTCCTTGTCCCTCTTTCTGTCTTCTTACCCTCATTCAAATTCTATCCATTTTTCAAAGCCCAGCTCACCTCCCTTCTTCTCAGAGAACTACTCCAACCCTCATTAATCTCTCTTTGCTCTGAACTCCTATCATATACGTGCTGTCTACTACACAATTCAGAACTTAATTTTGTCCCATCTACTATTATCTCGTAATTGTCTTGTGCATAATGAATCTTGTCTCTTCAACTAGATTGTTAGCATCTCATGATATCTCATGTCTTTTCATTGCTCCAGTGGTCTTCTCTATAATTTGCTTTTGACTTACTTTATTTTATATAACAGCTAGCATAGTGCTTAGCAAATAGTAGGTATTCGATAAATATTTAATTGTTGATTAACTGATTAAAGAGGACCTGGTTCAAATCCTACAATTGAAACTTACTACCCAGATGACTGTAGGCAAATCAATTAAGCTCCTTGAACCCTAGTTTCCTCATCTATAAAATGAATGGGTCTGGGCATGATGGCATATGCCTGTAATCCCTGATACTGGGGAGACTGAGAAAATTAGTGGATTGCTTAAGCTTTGGAACTCTGTGTGCAGCAAGACTAGCCTTAATATGGTGAATGCCCTGGAACCAGAGGACACCAGGCTGCCCAAGGAAGAGTGAATCAGTCCAGTAACAGAAATGGAACAAAGTTTCCATGATGATCATGGTTCAGGGGCCTGTGAACGGTCACTGCTCTTCCAGCCTGGGATAGATAGGAGAACTCAGTGTCTAATAAATAAATAAATTCATTTAAAAGATTAAATGACTGAATAAATGAATAAATAAATAAATAAAATGAGAGAAACCGGACTAGATGTCTTTTGAGGTCCCTTCTGGCTTTAGAGTTGTGATCTTATGTGTCATTTCACAATTGCCCACAAGTCCATCAACGAATTCGCAAAGCACCAGAAAAAAATTAATCTGTAGCAGACCAGGTGTGTACCTTATATTTGAAGCTGTGGCCATGGAAGTGAGCAGTGTGGACATCTACACTACTCCCCAAGCCAATCAAATACCAGTTCACTGTATCTCCAACATGCATAACCAGACCTTGGTTGTTTCCATAAAGTCTTCCATTAATTGCTGAAAGACAAAAAGCATCATCAGATATCTTTTTAAAAAAAGGATTTGAAATGATAGGACATTTTCTAAATATAGTCAATGACCCAGAAGCAGTAAAGATTCTAAAGCAGGATAACTAGTCCTCTAAAACAATCGAGCCATTCGTTCATTTAAAAAAAGCTCCTACTACTAGATTTTTCATTAGCAAGGAAAGCAAAACAAAAGCTGCTTTAGCATTGTCTGTTGAACTTTGATTTTTTATAAAAAAGAAAGAACCTTCGCTTATATTCTCTGTTCATTAGGAAGGATGCTGAGATAAGGATATGTAAGATTTCAGCAGCTAAGTGACTCCCGGAGCGGGAATTATCTCCAATAATACAGATCACAATCTGGATAAGGTTAGGGAGTGTGTGTATGTATATATACAAATGTATACACACATACACATATGACATATAACATACATGTATATGCATATAGAAAACACGTATATTTGTATAGATACACATGCATGTCTAGACACATACATCTATATGTGCATGTTCCTTTCATAACTATCTACCTATGTACCTTTAGATAGAAGGCAATTTCAGAGTGGAAAGGAGAACACCAATAACTAGTTGGCGCAAGCCGATAATTAGTAAATTAACAACCACAGGGATCGAGGACAGCCTCCTGCCAAAGGTGGCACTGTAGCTAAGCTCTGAGGGGAGTGAGGGATTCTTTCGACTTGTCCAAGGCCACATATCTAGTAAGTGTCAAGTGTTTGGTTCTGAGGCCACATTTGAACTCGGGTCCTCCTGACTCCAGGGCCGGTGCTCTATCCACTTAGCCACCTCGCTGTTCCTAGGGGGAGTAAGGGATTCTAAGACACAACAGTGAGGGTAGAGAGCATTCCCAGCATGGAACTGAGTTAGTGCAAAGGTACAGCGGTGGGAGAGGGGATGTTATATGAGGGGAAAAGCAAGGAGGACAGTTTGGTGCTATCATAAAGTCTATGAGTAAGAGTTATGTGAAATCGGTCAGGGGAAAGAGGCTATAAAGCCAGATTATGAAGGATTTTAAATACTAAGCAGAGGAGATTGTATTTTTCTATCTACCTATTTTTCTCCATCTATTTTTCTATATCTATCTATTTCTATCTATCTATCTACCTATCTGTCTGCCTATCTACTGTCTATCTTTCTATCTCTGTCTATTTTCTATCTCTATCTATCTACCTACTTGTCCATCTCTCTCTTTCTCTCTCTCTCCCTACCTCTCTATTTCTCTCTATCTTCCTGCTTATCTATTACTTATCTATCTCTGTCTATTTTTCTATCTACCTACCTATTTTTCTATATCTATTTCTATCTATCTGCCTGACTGCCTATCTACTGTCTATCTTTCTATCTTTGTCTGTCTATTTTCTATCTGTATCTACCTACCTGTGTCTCTCCCTCCCCTCCCCTCCTTTCTCTATCTACCTACCTACTTCTCTATTTCTCTCTATCTTTCTGCTTATCTACTATTTATCTATTTCTCTCTGTTTATTTTCTATCTTTATCTACCTACCTACCTATTTTTCTATATCTATCCATCTGTCTATTTCTATCTATCTATCTGCCTATCTTTCTATTTTCTATCTCTACCTACCTATCTCTATTTTCATCTATCATCTACCTACCTACCTCTCTCTCTCTCTCTCTACCTACCTACCTTTCTATTTATCTATTTTTCTATCTGCCTATTTTCTATCTCTACCTACCTGTCTATCTCTGTCTGTCTATTTTCATCTATTTACCTACCTACCTCTCTATTTCTCTCTCTCTCTACCTACCTTTCTATCTATCTATCTTTCTATCTCTGCCTATCTATCTTTCTGTCTCTATCTACCTACTTATCTTCCTTTTTACCTACCTATCTACCTACCTACCTGTTTACTTGTCTGTCTGTCTGTCTGTCTCTCTAAGATGCAAGGTGATCTGGGAGATATAGTACTGACCTTGGGGTCAGGAAGGCCCTTGGTACAAGGCTTGTCTCTGATCTACACTGGCAATGTGACCATGGGCCTCTCAGTGCCTCCAAGCAACACTCTAAGATGATAAATTCTAGAAGAGCTGCCAAATTGTATCAGTAAAGGGAGCTTCCTTCATTGGGAATCCTCTATACTGACTAAAAATCCCGGTCTGTGTGCATTTAAACATTTCTGTGTATACATGTATTGACATACTCAATAAGTAATCAAGGATAATTTTCAATTTCCATTTATATTGTTGACCTGTAATGTCAGCATTCATTATCATGTAACACTCAGTTTCTGTTATATAAATTGGAAACCTATTGGTCTATATTTTTGAGATAAAGTATTTTGTATACATGACTGAATTTCTCCATGTGTGCATCTATATGCATATTTAATTTTCCACCTACATATATTATACATACACACACACACATATATATACAAATATAAAATCTTTCAACAATTTCAAAATAGCATTAGAATGCAATTCCAACTAACATGAAATAGAAACTGAATATATGTTTAGTTCAATTTTAAATATATAATCTTAACTTTTAAAACAGAAGCTCAAAGTTGTAACTAGCTAATGTTTCCTCATTCCTATTTAGATTATTCCATTTGGGATCCTGGCATATTCCCTGCTGAAGGGAGTCAGGTCACCTATTAAGTTTGATGATTGTATGAAGGAAGAAATAACGATTCTGCATTTGTAGTTATATTTCTATAGAAAGATCTTCTGATTTTATATGGTTCTGGATCCTCAGTTTCCCTTTATAAAGCAAACTGAGAGTTGGCTATTGTTGACCACATCAGCTCTGAGACACAGTATTACCATGCATTTGGTTGCTTAAAATAAATTCTGGATCTTCTTTATCCACTTCCTCTGGATGTGGAGAATACTTTTTGATGTTTTCATCGAAGTACCAGGATTTATTCTCATTAAAAATAATAAAAGAAAGAACTAGGTTAAGAATATGGCTAGCAGCAGAGTTGGTGGTGGTGTTTTGGCGACATACTATCAAAGGTCCAATTAATCCACTGTAGAAATCCTGAAAACACAAATCAGATCAAGACACTGAGTTATAGACAATGATAGCAACTAACTGTGATAGTAAGAATTTCCCAACATCTAGAAGGCAGTTAGATGGTACAATGGATGAAGGGTTCTCAAAGGGTCCTCAAAGACCTGAGTTCAACCCTCTTTCATCCTCATCCCATTCAATCCCCTCCCTGCAACCCTTAGAACTATCTGTATGACTTTGGGTAAGTTGTTTAACCTCCACCTGCCTCAGTTTCCTTTTTTTGTAAAGTGGGGATGCTAATAGCATCTTCCTCACAGGGTTGTTGTGAGGATCAAATGAAAATAATATTTGTAAAGCACTTAGCACAGTGGTAGACATTTAATAAACGTTCGTTCCCTTCCTTCCAATGACATCAAAGGAAATCTAACTAGATCTAGCTGAGCAACAATGCCTATGTGTTTAGCATTTGCAATTCTGTAGCTGAAGCAGAGTAATACAATGTGAAGACATCTTAGATTGCACAACTGAAAAGAGAATTAAACATTTCTCATTGGGAATTTTTTTAATGGAATCAACTCTAATTCTGAGATTTTGAGTTCATTCATTCCTCAGTCAATCAACAAGCATATATTAAGAGTCTACTCTGTGGGATAAAAAAGATGTAACAGTCCCCAATCCCAGGCTGTTTACAATTTATGGGTTCTTGGTAATCATAGTATGATCTTTGAAAAGCACAAGCCTTTTTTGGTGTTGTTCAAAAGAGGAGATGAGAGTGGTTTGTTTCTGCAAGAAGTTTACATAGAATTGGACTTTTCTTTTTGTTTTTTTGAGACTAGCTCTCCTTGTCCCAATCAGGCTGGATGTTAAGTGGCGATTCATGGACCTGGTCCTATTGTCAATCAGTATGGGAGCTTTGACCTGCTCCATTACCAACTGGGCTGGTTGGTCCTCCTCCTAGAGGCTTCCAGTTCTGAGAGAGCTTACCCCATACTAGTACCAGGTACAATGTGCATGCCTGAGGGACCCTCTTGCATCTCAGAACTCCTAAACTCAAGCAATCCACCAGCCTCAGCCTGCTCAATAGCTGAGATTACAGGCATGGGCTAGTACATCTGGCTTTGACTAGATTTCTTTTAAGACCCACCACATTTTTCTTGTATCACATGTCTGTCTATATTAGAAAAATATCATGAAAACAGTCACGGGATGAACAGCTTACCTTAACTGGATTCACAGTTGAGTAGTAAACCCAGGGTATGCAAACAGAGTCATTTTGGGTAGGTCCAGATCTTTCAGGGATTTTCCACTTATATGTTCTTATTTCCCCTGTTGAGGCAAATATATTCTACTTAATTCATTTCAATTCAACAACTCTTTATTGAGTACCTGCAATATATTTAATTGCCTGGGATGTTTTCCCTCTTTACCTCTACCTTATACAATTCTTCTTTTCCTTCAAACCCCAGCTCAATCGCCACCTTCTCCATGAATCCTTTCCAATCCTTCCACCTTCCACTTCTTCCTCCCAAACTACCTTGTAGTTAAATACTTAGTTTTTATCTTCTTCCTCACCTAACACTCACTGGCTTATATTGATAGAGAAATCTCTTTGCAAACCTAATGAAAGGTAGATGCAAATTTGCGAAGCATTTGAAAAAAAATACCATCCACACATAATTTCTAACCTTTACTCCTCTCAAATTCTCTGGACAAGGTATCTTCCTTGAGAATGTTTTACATTAACAGAAGTATGAGTTTGTGGGTTTTTTTTAAATTTCTTAACCTATGGTTAAGAACACTTGAAATCTAATCTTGCCTCAAATACTTTCTAGCTGTGTGACCCTGGGTAAGTCACTTAACCTCCGTCTGCCTCAGTTTTCTCTTCTGTAAAATGGGATAATAATAGCATCTTATTCCCAGGGTTGTTATGAAGATGAAATAAACATTATATAAATGCTAGCTCTTGTTGTTAATGTTCATCTGATCTTCATGTTATAAGATTTTGTGGGGTATAATACTCATCATAAATCATCCCAAGTCTTGCCTCAACTAAGATTCTATTTCACATCACAGTGGAGGTGACCCTGGGTTCTCAAAGAATTGTAAGGTAAATACAAACTCTGGCAGATCCTCACAGACTGGAAAGATTCAAGAATGGGCCTGTCAACGAGCCAGACTAGCTGAATTGGAGAGGTCCATTAACAGGGGAACCAAAAACCCTTAGAGACTCTCAGAAACCATTTAATAAATCAGAACAAGTTTATGATTTCTTTTTGTTAGAAGGGAGTCCTTACACAGAAGAAATCACAGCTCCATTAAGTATTCAAGAAAGACTCCTTATCCTAGATGATTTCTCTCCCCAAGTAATTACCTGGTTTTGTTGGAATAACAGTGGAATAATCTGTTTTCACTCCGTGAGCATGTATAGAATAAGACCTGTTGGCTGTGTTTTTAAAGACAACTGTAACTGTATCCCAGACGTTTACCTGAATTAGTGGGCCTAGTAGGAGTAAACGGAAAGATACATTAGTGTTACTTCACTTAAAATATAAATATTAAGTCATCTGCCCTCCCAAACATAAGCCCAGTGATTTACATCAATTCTTTTTATTTAACTATAGCACCTTTGGATACCACAAGCCTCCCCCTCCCCCTCACAAAGTGAGTTCTCAAAAAAGTCTAGTCCAGGATTGTGAGCAAATGTCTTATTGCTACATTTCTTAATTTTGTTAAATATCTTTACTATGAACTAATTATGTACTCTGGCTGATAAGTAAAAGCAAGCACATTGGTGGGGGCTCATGAACAATGTTTTCTTTTGTGCCAGTATAGAACCACAGAGTACCTTGAACCTGGCATAGCCTTGTCAAAGGCACCTACTCTTTGAAGTTTTTTTGGGGGGGGGTAAGTGGTTTCAGGTCCCTCATAAAATATTAAAAAAGTTTTTTGCAAAGTGGGGAGATTTGGAGTGAGAAAGTTTAGGAAGTTTGGGTGGGAACTGTAAGCCTACCAAACTGATGCAGCAAATAAAAAGTTCATTGTTGGTTTATAAAGCATGGCTTTCAGCTGCTTTCAAAACTTTGGTGACCTAGATTCCAGAACACCATCTTTAGAACAATGGCCTCTGTAGGAACCATTTGGTTCATCAGATTACAGCATTCTTGGGAGTTTAAAATTTGAGCCAGCTCTTTTTTCTTTTCTTTCCTAATGAACCAAACAAAAATGTCCTGGCAAGCAGCCAAGGGATAGGAGGAAAAAGGAATATTTTTTCTTGATCTTTCTGTTCTATCAAAAATGTGATAACCCGCAGCAATTGCTGATGAACAGAATTCCCATCACAGCACTGAAGAGACAAGATGGTTAAGCAGGACAAATTGAAGGATTCGAAGTCAAGGACCCTAGCTCTGAGTCTCGGCCCTGATATTTAGGATTATAGATTGAGAGCTAGAAGGAATGCTAGCCATCACCTAGTCTAACCTGCTGCTTTTACAGATGAGGAAACTGGCCTGTGGAGGTGACGTAACTTATCCTCCATCACAGATAATAAGTACCAGCACCCAGGGCCTCTGGTTCTCAAATAAATATTCTTGCAGGCTGTGTGACCATGGGGAAATCAATGAATCTCTCTGAGTTACAGTTTCTCTATTTGTTTCTTAAGATTGTTGTAGGGGAAATATTTTTGTTTTAGCAACATGGCATAGTACTGGGCTTGTGAGAGACACACAAAGACACTTTTCAAAACTAACCTCTGAAACTTACTAGCTGTCTTAGTTTCCTCATCTGTAAAATGGGTACAACTTGTAATACCTCCATAAGAAGGTTGTGATGAGACTTTAATGAAGTAATGTCTCTTAAATGCATTGCAAACTTTAATACACTATACATGGCAATTATTATTAGATGTTTATTTTATGTTCTCCTTCTTGCTTACCAGGACTCCGTGTTTAAAGCTTCCTATAGAATATAGTTCTGGGTAACACTGAGCTAGATTTGGTGCATCTGGCTAGGAATACTGAGACAAAATGGTTTCAGAGAAGACTGGGCACTAAATAAGACCTTTTTGTATATTAGCACAGGATTCAGACTCTAGAATCAGGAGCTCTCTGTGTGGGGTCTCTAAGTAGACCTTAGACTTCTTGACACAATGCACAGAATGCTGGTCTTGGAGTCAAGAAGACCCAAGTTGGAATCCTGCCTCCAGACACTGACTAGATACATGATCCTAGACAATGCACTTGACCTCTACCTCAGTTTCCTCACCTGTAAAATGAGAATGATGATGATATCATCTACCTCCCAAGGTTCTTGCAAGGATCAAATGAGATAATATATATAAAGTGTTTTGCAACATTAAAATGCTATAGAAATATTAGCTGTTGTTATTATCATTTTCCGATTTCCCCAACTGCTAGTTTCTTCTTTTATAAAGTGCCATATAATTTAACCATTTGCATATAGTTGTACTTATTTACTTTATATTTATGATGCATATATTTCCACTTATACTTGTCACCCTTATTCAAATGCAAACTCTTTGAGAATGGGAAATTTTTCATTCTTTGTACTTGTGTCTCTAGTACTCTTAAGAGATACTTGCTGACTGACTAATTAATTAGTACTTTCAAATTTCCATCAAATAAAATTTCCTCGACATTTTCTCTGTTCCTTTCCACCAGAGGACTACCCTGCTATGCATCCTAAGCATCTTCTTGTCTTTGTGGCATAAAGTGATGTAACAATCTCAAAGAATTGTAAAGTCTAGAAGTATATTGGGTTATCTTCCATGTTATTCTTGGTCCAAACTATTATGATGATTAACAAGTATTGTAACCTGTAAGACCAAGTAAAATCCTACAAAATAACCAGAGATAAACCCTAGGTACTCCTCACTAAGAATGCTTAGATCCTCCTGATTCCAGGACAGGTACTCTATCCACCGAACCCACCCAGCTGCCTCTGTTGAGTTATATTTTAATGAACAATCGGGAGATAAAATGCTTATAAACAAGTCCTTCTCCCTCTCCCAGTTCCAATTTCTTAACATGTAAAATTAAAGGATTGGACTATGAGGTGATGCTGAAGTTGTAGATTCTGCAACTCCTATGATGTTAGTATTTTGAGATCAAGCCTTTGCAGCTTGATGTGAAGAGGGCTATGATGGGCTGGCTTGGAATCACATGAAAAACAAAGCTATGTAGTTCCAGGCAGCATTTTGTCCTCGGAAGCTTGAGCTAGTTAACCACATTGGAACTGAATTTTAAAACTATCTTCAGGATCCATTCCATGGGGTTGCTGTATTTTGTTAACATGTGTAGTAAGACTTTAATCCTCTGGACAATGCTCATTCTCATCTGTCTAAATAAGTTTGGGACTCTTCTGAAGTGGAACCACTTCTGGTATCAAAGAAAAGAAAGAAAAATCTGACCCAGGTCATATAGAGCAACCAGCCAAATCACACAATTCGGTACCTAGGATATCCAGATGTTTATCTTCCTCCGTTCTTGGTTTTGGAGTCTTGAAGGAGCTATCAGTGAACTGAATGTAAATAACTTTCTTGTATTTGGAACCAAGATACCAACCATAGACTTTATCCAAATATATATCTGTCTTACTGAAACACATAGACACACACAAACTTAATGTTTAGTTCATTTAAACATTTAAGATGGGCAAAGAGCTCAAATTAAAACTTCCATGAAAATAACGTTACTCAGAGAATTAAGATACTGTCTTAAAGAGTGATTATTATTATTATTAAAGGTGATTATTTCTACCCATGTAGTCCTATACTTAATTTGGAAAAAGAATATTGAGCTTTCATATCTTTTTCATATTTTTTCTACCAGCTTTCCCTGTATGTGGGGTCCATCTTCTACTACTTTCCTTGTCTTTGCCTTTCAGAATCCCCAACTTCATTCAAAGCACCCCACTCTTGGGCCACCTCCTTCCTAGTTATTAGTACTTTCTTCTTCTAGAAATTATGTGTATTGCTTTATACATACTTTGTATTTTCTTATCTTCATACATAGTATGTTCCCTCAGTGGAAAGAAAGCTACCTGAGGGCAGAGACTAGTCTATGCTTGTCTTTGTATTCTTAGCCTTAGGATCACACCCAGCACATAATAGGTACTTAGTAGGTGGTGGTAGAACAGAACTGAAGCAAGAGTTTTTAAGAAGAAAGTGAATGAAAGACATCAAATGATGTGAGGAAGAAAGTTAATGTTGTCAAATAAGAATCAAACAGTGAGGCGGAAGTGAACTCCCTTATACCAAGAGGCATGATAGTTTATATACTCATTAAACAGTGTGAAAGAATGAGGAGAAAGATGGATAGAAAGAGACACAGAGAGAGAGAGAGAGAGGAAAAGAAAGGAGGGGGAGAGAGACAGACACCCGAAGAGACAGAGAGAGAGAAACAGGGATACAGAGAGAGAGAGAGACAGAGAGACAGAGAGAGAGACAGAGACAGAGAGAGAGAGAGAGAAACAGGGATACAGAGAGAGAGGGAGAGAGGAGAGACAGAGAGAGAAAAACATGAATACAGAGAGAGAGGGAAAGAGAGAGAGAGAGAGAGAGAGAGAGAGAGAGAGAGAGAGAGAG